ACAAACTCCTCCAATAGTATAGAAAAAACATCGCTGAACTACCGACAGCTGTGAAACTCTACTGTCTTGTCGATAAATACTCTTTTAGTCGGGCTATGAGATGGTGCAAACTGCATTTTTGTTTGCCAATTAGGTACTCTTTTTATTAATGAAAGGAGTGATAATTTAGGAACACTTAGTATATCGAAATTTGAAATAGAAAACCAATATCTGATAACTCTTCAGCAGGTGGGGGTCGAAAGACGAAGGCGACATACCCTGATTGCCGGAAAACGAAAATGGGCAGGGAATATATGGGCAGGATCAGAGAAAGCGAAACGGGGAATCCATGCCTGTATTGGGAAGATTTCGTGGAAATCACGAAGTTACCTGACGTAATGGTGAAGCACTTGCCGTTGACGAACAATCCTTCGGAAAAGATCAGTTTCAGCGACCTTTTCGCAAATTTTATCCCACGAGCCCAGTCGAACTTCTGTCGGAATCCGGGATGGGGGCAGAGGCCGTGGTGCTTTGTCTCAAAGACTCCTACCATCAAATGGGAGTACTGCGACGTTCCCTTTTGCGATGACCTGGGTGCGTTCTTCCGATGTGGGACCACAACCGGAACACAGGGATTCTGTTTTTTTCATGTCAAGTTTTCAATATTGATGTAGTTGTAACTGTCTCTTTGGAAAGTTACGATGTCACTCTTACCTGGACTTGAAGTTAGCACTTGCAGCCTCTCAAAACATTTAGAAGTACCTAGGTATATTGGTTGCAATGAAATATGTTCCATGGAATGAGGTGACTCGGTCATGAAATGGAATTGTAGCTTCTTAACTTCAGTCAAACTCGAATTGTTAGACTTCCGGAACTTAGAACAGATTTTTAACCTCAATAGTCCGGATTTAAATCTCCTGCGCAAGTGCTGGATTTTTTCTACGCATCTCCCTAACACTCGCTAGCGGAGCAACAGTATATAAAATATAAAACAATTATTCATTTAGTATCAGGACATTTTCCCAAAAAGTTGTAGTACGGCGTTTGCCCCTTTATTCCAATGAACGTTAAACTCTTGACTAGTGATAGCAATTACTGTACGGCACTTAAAACGACAGTGGAATGATTCCCCCAGTTCCGTTGGAGTGCTCCATGTTGCTCGAGGGTGGGGATTACATTGGGAAGAAAAACGTGACTGAGTCCGGGAAACCCTGTTCACCATGGATGGACCCGAGCCACTGGATGTTAAACTTCGACATTCACATGCCTATGTTTCTTGATCCCTTGGACAGCAGGCACAACTTTTGTCGCCGAGTAAATATCGCTGACAAGTACTTCAAAAAACCCTTTTGCTTGGTGTACAGTGACGGCCTTGCTTATAGTGAGTTTTTTGAATATTGTGAAATTCCCTACTGCTACGAACTTCTGGAGTCCATCATTATGAGTGAGTCCTTATTTCTCATTTACTACCGCTTTATTCGAATGAGATCAGCTATAGTAACGACCAGCATGGATACTAAAGGATTACCCCATATTCACTAGCTACACAATTCATTCTTGTCCCTTCAGTTTAAGCTGAATGTGTTCTGAAGCCCGCTGAAGCCTTGCTTATACCAATGAGTTGATCTCTGTGAATCATTTCAGAACCAAGGTGTCTACTCCATGAATCATAAAATGAATCGACTTCTAATTGCAGATGGAGGCAGCAAGAAGCACGAGTATCCGGATTGTCTTCTGACAGAGAATGGAACCGAATACATTGGGACAATGAATAAGACAAAAACTGGGAATGGCTGTCTGCCTTGGGATTCAAATCCGTACGAACTGATGAAACCAGAAAATCATATGCACCCAAGCGTCCTGCGATACCACAAGAATTACTGTCGAAATCTTGGGTCAAAAAATAAGCCATGGTGTTGGGTCAAGGACACTAGGATCAAATGGGAATACTGCGATATCCCATTCTGTGTCGACACGAGTAAGGAATCCTCGTATTTTTCACATTTCGGTAAAATATGAGCTCCCTGCATTGACATTGTTTAACGTAAAGGGATGTACGTCAAGAAGAGGTATTATATTTCAAAGAAACACTTCCTACTTTCTAGGGGTATTGAAATTCCATGGGGGAACCTTCAACCAGCAAACATAATTGCTACCAGTGGCGGCTCGTGGGTAAAAAAATTGGGTAGGCAGCAGTGGTGCAAAAAAAGTTGGGGGGGGACGGTCACCCCCAATGATTTCTTTGCAGCTATATGATCCCCATTTCTATCACTATTGACCAATGGAGCGTCCTCCTATGATAGTAGCAGGCACATTCGCTCCTCTCTCAACCTCGCTGAGCATCCCCTCCACCACTCTCCAGTTTCTTCTGAGGGTCAACCCCACCCCACCCCTTGCTACAGGCTTGGTTTAGGACTTTTGCATTCAAAATTGTAACATCCAATTCTAACATAATCAGAACTATCCATCAAGGAAATTACTTGCATCTAAAAGGAAAAGTGACGAAGATTTAAACCTTCAATGAATGCAACTATATCATTGGAAGACACCAGGGATGCGAGGCACTGTCAGTCTAACAGCACATATCACATAGTAACATTGCCTCTTCCAGAGAAAGCAACGAATGCGTGGTAGGAATAGGGAACTGAGACTGACCGAATCCTGTTCGGAATGATTACTTAATTCAGTCTGCATAAAACTGTAGAATAAGTCTGATCAGGTGTGACAACCACAGAGGCTTCTACAAGCACGTGCTTCTGAGCAGAAGGTGTAAGCAAGCGATTCTCAAACTTCCTTCCTGCGCAAGGAGTGACTGCGCACCGTAGGCAAGCCTACCCTCACTCATTCCAGTGTTGTGGTTCTCTTCCCTTTCTCCCTCCTCTCTTCCTGCATTGGACCGTGGGAATTCGAGCCAAGCCAGCGTAGGCAGGCAGCGCCGTGCCTACTCTGGACGCATAATCTTGTTTTGCTTTTACCTTGCAATGGAAAAAAAGTATTTCCAGCTGTGCTAATCGAATAATTAAGTAGCAAATATTAATTTGAGAACTCTGATTTTAAACTGGGTAGGCACTGCCTACCCTGACGAGCCGCCACTGTAGTAAAGGGTCCCACGTTACTCGATGACGGACTCAACTTCAGATGAAAGTGACGAGCGCTTGCTGTGCTACAACATTCATCAGCGCCATTGCTGAAATCATTTACGAAGCTGAAAACGCTGTTCCATGTGCGATGTATCCCAACCAACCAGTGCCGCTGTGGAAAGACTAAGGACCAGGGTGTCAAACTCGATTTGGCCGAGGGCCGGATAGGTCGGTGCAGGGGAGACACAAAGGACTTCGCGGGCCGCCAGTTTGACACCCCCTGCCGTAGACTGTAAACGGAGACGTTTTCACCTTTGACGGAATTTATTCAGAAAGCATTTCCTTCAAGAGCTGACTTACTCGTAACTCCGATAGAGCGCCAGAAGTTTTTGCATCCTCGCGTGAAAACACCTGCTTGGTTTTTTTTTTTTTTTTAACTCTCACGGATGTGAGTTGACCATGAAGAGAATTTTCCACGCTGAGTGTTTTTCTTGCTTTACACCAGCATGTGTAAACCTCCTCCGAGATGGAATACGAAGCTAGGATGGGAATTTCAGTGACGATCACCGGAATGCGGTAAGAATAAAGAATAAATTCCATGTCGACAGAGTTCAGGAAAAGTAACTTGCTCTTGTAACTAGTTAGTATTGGTAAGAAGGCACCAATTCGTAATACGCTTGTAACTAATTGCCACTAGGCTGGAATTCTAGTAATTTTAACTACTTTCCACAAGAACGTGCCGAGAGCATCACATCTGCCCCGACTTCATCATGTTCAAATCGCGTTGCATAGCGTGGGGTGGAATTCAGTTAGAGGAGCGAGATTATGAGATACGGGCTGGTTCTCCATGAATTAACCTTCGGGGGTGACCAGAGAATATTGAGAGACTCCCCCTGTCCTTTTGAGCTTTGTTAATTTAGCAAGCATCTAGAAGGGTCTCAGTCGGCAACACTGCTCTTGGAAATTAAAACTCTTCGGATGTAATGTAGGGAACAAACACTAAGGCACCTATGGTACGTTACGATGAAACCGTACTGAAAATATTTCTCATTACTTAGGGATCTTGAGCAATTTTTAGTGCGCGAATGCATACACCCAAATCAAAGGGTGAGACATTTGCCGTCACTTTTTGCACGTGCAACATGGTGTCTTTCCAGATAGACTGGTATCACACTTGTAACACCTACTGCGTGCTTTGAGGCAGTAACTCTCTAAAGTAACGGAAACCAAACTCAATAGCGAAGGGGGTCAGGAGTAGTAGCACCGATCACACGATCCAGTGCATTGACTGACCATGGACCAAAAGGTTTTGGAAGTCGAGTCTCAACTCAACAGCGCCAACCACATATAAGCATCATTATATACGCAGGATTCACACTAGTTGTTTTTTTTTTTTTACATCTGGAGTCCTGGCGCCTAGCTTCAGCTCAGTGGGAACATGTTCAGGTGGTTGTCAATGAGTCCCACGGACGGATGATTGCAAGTATGAGTCCCTCCAAGAAAATAAGTCAGGGACTCGCTATAGCGAGTTAACGTGAACCCTGTAGGATGATTACAAATCCATTCTTTTTCCATTCAAATACGGCTCATGGACTTGTACACCATTGTTACAATAAAACTTTAATTTCTCAAGAAAAACACCTCAGAGTGGAAAATTAACATGCAGTTAAGGAGTAAAAAAAAAATGGAATTCCTCCCCACCTTTCATTTTGCATTCTGTACTGGAAACCTCCTGTAAGCATCACAACATACTGGGAAACCTAACTTGGCATTCTTAGGAAAGCATTCACTTGCCATATCTCATCCTTGATCAAACCACATGGCATGTGCCAGCTTGATGGCATCTAAATGGACATGATATTTCCTGCTTCTGCAATTGAGCAACAACAATGTATAATTCACGTTATTTTCTGGGCAGGTAATAAAGGAATCCAGGCAAAATTCACTTTTTATTTGTACTTTTTATTATTTTTATTATTTTTTCAGTTTTGCAAGAAGGAAGAAACAAAAGAGAGAAAGCAGTCGAAAGACAGTAACAGAGAAAGAAAGACAACCACCCCTCAAAAAAAACGTTCCCACATCCCATGAAACCCACATATTCCTACCTTATTCCTACATCTGGCTGGAGGTCTTCATCTTGTGTCCCAGGAATATCTGTCTACTCTATAGTCCTTCTTGAAACCTACAGCAACTTTACAAATCAAACTTCACAGGTTCAAATGCAATCAGACTCAGTGACAGAGAAGGCAAAGGCCTCCCAATTATTGGCAGAGACTTGCATCTGCATAAGAAACTCTCCATGACCCTTCACGCGAATGAAAACGACAAGAAAGCATTCGACAGAGAAGCCATTCACGGCAGTGTCAAATCGGGGCTCGAGGAAGAGGAAGTCTGAACCTCTCATTCACTCATGTACATGACTGTACCAGCCCTTCCATCTGTACATACAAAATTGCTAACAAGACTTTTTTTTTTTTTCTATAAAAAAAAATTAGAGTGCTGATGGTGATCAAGCACAAGGAGACCAAAGTAACAACATCTGATAGCTTTCAACTTGGAAATAGACAGAAACAGATATGAGATGAAGAGAGGAAATTGTCTGCATTCACATCCCTGCAAACTGAAAACCTCTTGGAAGGCTGTGATTGAAGTACAGAAGAGCAAGGACAAGGTCTTTCAGGAGCACATGAGCAAACAACCATCCTGACTTTTCTCATCACACGTAAGGGGAAACGTACGAAGCATCCTTAAGCCGTCCACCATCTCCCTCTGACACGAACCTCTTCCGTCCTCTGAAAGGTAAATGTGAGATCCTTCCTTAGATCTTTACAATTATGAGGAATTTAAAGAAAGCTTAAGCTCATTTTTTCCCCCCTAAATGGGAAAAAATTGCAGAAAAACAAAGCCTTTTGGGCATGATTATTTTCAATGAAAAAATAAAATGGAGAATCCTCATACCGTGAAGGGAGCTTGGAAATGACATCATTTGAGAGGAACCCAGCAGCCTGACACTTGTTTACAACCTTTTCCAGCATGTAGTAAGCAGCGGGCACATCCAGGCAGATATCGGGCATGTCTTCATAAACTCTTAGAAAACCCTGTGATGATATTAATTAATTAGCCATTAATTTGGGGTGAAGTCAGTCTTGCAATAAAGCATTGTCAATTAGCAATAAAGATTATTTTGCTACATGCTTTCATAAAACCCTCACTAACAGCACAACAAAAATTTGCACACATTCCTTCAAATGCAGAGAAATGGAGTCACATGTAGAGACTATAAGTCGCACATATAAGACAGTTGAACATATTACAAAGGCAAGGAAAGAAGTAAAATTTTCATTAACTACTGTACATTTGTAACTAAAAAGAATTTAAGTCACAAATCAATGGTGCAGAAGGTGCTTTATGAAGGCCTCCTAGTTCTGAGACAATGACACATGGTTTCAGTGGTACCAATTGACACTTCTCCCAATGTTCAGAACAGTCTTCACCTTCTGGCAACAAATTGTGATTTAGAGGACAAGAACAAAGTAAAAAGAACAAAACACAATAAAGATAAACTTTGATTGATACTTCCATCAATAATATTTACAATATTTTTCATATTTTAAGAGTCATACCAGTCTGAACGTCAACTCACATTGGTCATTTGGTCGAGAGTGATGATCACAGCATCAGAAAAGCATTTCAAAAGGGCAACCATGGCATCCTCCGCTTCTTCTGTCATTTTTTCCATTGCCATGACAACAGCCTACAAAGAAAGTCAAAGACACTGTGAACAAAGCTGTCAAAGTATCTAAAAAAAAACTGCAAAAACATTCACCCCCAAACCTTAAGCTTTGATGCTGTGTCAAATTTCAAGTAGCCCACCCCCATAAAGAAAATCATACTGAGTTGCCATTTCTACTGACCATACTGTCATAGACAGAGTAGCTCATACCAGGCAATCAAACTTAAAAAAATCCAGTTTCTGCATCTGGCCCAAAAAAGCACTTGCTCCTTATTTTCTCACATCACTCTTGTGGCACACAGTTCTTTTGTGTGCACATGAGGAAGCACCTGAGTGTCCAAGATCAAAGGTATACTTAAGTGAATATGTGCAGTCTTGGGGCTGGGTTTTGCTTCTGTTGTAAACTATGAATTTATACTTTCTAATCTCAGATTGTGACCAGTAAAGTCCTGCCAATATTTACAAGTCCACTAATTTTCTACATCAAACTCAGGCTTTTCACTAAAAAAAAAAAAAATTTGATAAAAAAAGAAAGCTCACAGAGATTTACTTAGATTACTCCATGTAAATTGGACTTGAAATGATGGAGCAAAAATAAATTTTATCAAGCTACTTTGTCCAAACTAAGTCCAGGTGAACAATCTTCCCTTTCTCTCCACTGTTAGTTGGGCCAATGCCACCTCAAATGACTACAGACTCACTGAGGCATTGAGTTGACCAAATTCTGAAGCTAAGAATGTAAAATTTCCTTGTAAAAACCCATAATACATGGTAAGTGATACAAATTCCAACCCCCTTAAGCTCAAAATGTGCCCCCTCACCAACAGTTTGAAATTATTTTTTTTGATCTATGCTAATTGAGAGGAAAATGCACACACCATCCATTCATGTTTAAGGATCAAACACTTGCATAATTAGGTTGAAAAAGTCTGCTTGTACTTTTGATTGAGTTGAAATATGTAAAATGGGGGCAAAATTTATTGCAGGATTGGAATTTGTATCACCTACCCTACATGAGAAGGATTCAGAGGCAGCTCCCATCAGGGTGAAGGCACACTTCCATGATATGACAATCTAGCTTCATACTACAAACCAATGGAGCATAGGAACTCTGTCCCAGTAATTTCTATTACTGTGCCAAGAACATTGTCGGGGAGAATTCTAAGGTCTAATACAGTCAACTCCACATAATGGAATACCTCATAATGGAACTCCTCTTAATGGAAAACTATTGCAAGGTCCTGATTTACGGTACAATAAAGCAGATAGTTTCAGTTAATGGAATATTCCAGATTACAGAATAAAGTCCACTGGTCCTGTGAGTATTCCAACAAGCAGAGTCAACTGTATATATATTCACTAATTGTAGTGGCTCCAGAAATATGGGAAGAATTTGGTTTGCTGAGCTATTGGTCTCAAGGGTCATCTATTGATGCTTACCAATGCCTCCATCTTTCATGGAAAAATTTACTCCCAGAAATAATATTTTTACAGTCTTTATCTCTGGCCATCATCAGGAAACAGCATCAAGGTGACTTTTGGCAGAGACCATGGAATTGCTTCTTAACCTGGGATCTGACAAAGGATGTCATCATCATGTCATCAGCAAGGGGAGGGATGTTATTTCAAGTCCTTAGAGAAGGTTAGTGGAAAAAACTGTTGCAAGAAGTTAGAATGGATGCTGACACCCCCAGATCCTCTAGAAGAGGAATTCACCTCTTGCACCATGCATCATTGCATTACCTGTTCCCAAAGGTCCTTTACTCTGTCAGCTACCAAGTCTTATGACAGCAACTGCCTACAGTTGAAACATTTCTGGAGAGCTGGATTTTTACTTTGATGCATTCCATTGCATGTTTTCTCTCACAGGACAAAAATAAACATACTACAGATTGATAAGCCTCATGGATGGATCCCTCCATCAGCAGCAATGATGATGGAGAAGTATAAGCTAATGGGGTCAAGCATACCAGTTGGCCTAACTGATGAGAGATTTTAAAGGTGACAAATCAATTTGGAGGCAACTGAACAAAAAACTCACCTCATAGACAAGCTCATGATGGAAATGTGGGACTTCGAGATCTCGCAGACAACGCTGGGCTTCTTTTGAATCCTTGGAGGACAAATATTCCTCAAGGAGGAGCACCATTTGACGGACCAGAGCATTGACAGGACGCAGTCCACCTCCAACACCCCAAACATTGTCAAGACGAACTAATCCATGCTTCATGGAGAGCAAGGTATCTGCACGTGCCAAAGCAGCTCTGAAGAATTGTAACAGGAAACATAGAAAATTAACTTGTAAGCCTGAACACCTCATGCTTACAATTGTGTGTGTAAGCATTTCCCTGGAGAAAAGGAGAATATGTAGGAAGGCAGGAGTCTTATCATAATTAGCCAAAATATTGGATGGGTCATGAGAAAGATTTATTTAAATATAAGAACTTGATTAGGTACAAGCAACTACATACTTTGTAGAAACCTATTTTCTCTTATCTGCTCTATTTCCACTAGTTCAATGCCACTCAAATTCTTTCCAGCATTTACTTATCATTTGCCAGAGCAACCCAGAACTGTTCTTTCAGTAAAGCATTCCAGGTCATTCCAAATGAAATATGTGAAAGGTTTTTGGTTCCACTGGCAGCCCTTAGAGTAAAGAAACACAATTTTCAAACATCATATTCATAGAACACTAGGTCATGTGGTGGGATCAAGAAGAACAATATTGAAGTACAACTGAATTTAGCCATCATCACATCCTAAGATTACACCTAACTGTAAAACATATCTGTTAAAGTAACTAGAGTCCGTCCAAATTGTTACCCAGCATAGTGTGTATGTTTATTTTATAACTATCTTTTAAGGAAAGAGCACAAAGCCACAATACTTATTCAAAACTTCCAACAAAACCCAAAACATACTTAACAATAAAATTTAGAAGTTTTGCATATATTTCCAAAAACTTCTCTGAATTCTGAATGGGGAATTAATGAGAGATGTTAGCTTTGGCATCACCAAGAATAAACTATTGGCAAGAGGACTTGAAAGGTGCATCACCGTTTGTCTTTGAATATCATGTAATTTCCATGACAAGGCTCTATAAGGAAGCAAGAATTTTAACAAGGAAATGCCCTCTCTCTAAACTCCTGCTCCACTTTCTGAAAATTAACAGTATTTATCAAGTCATTGGCAATGAGTCATGATATTCCCCATTTATATTGCAGCATCCTTAATTTACAAAATTACAGCTATGTACTTTGTGTTTCCTCACAGAAATTTGATTTTCTCAAAACTGAATGGGGTTTTTTCACAAGAAAGAAATTTCAGATACCCTTTGGTCAATCATCTTATATCCCTATGTAGCTCCATCACATCCCAAGGTCAAAGGGATGTATTTTTGTTGGCCACATACCCCTTTGTATAGCCAAGGGGGTTTGATTGGTTCAGAACACCAAAATTTAACTATTTTCTTAACTCTTTAAATTCCATGCCCAAGTATACTATTGATCACCTCCTGGGCTGTGTCATCCCGACCCAACTCTGGTCCAAGCCAGAGAGGGTGCAGCTTTGGAAACTTGGGAGTTAAAGGGTTAAGTAACCTCCTCATTCATCTAAGTTACTCAGTGTAACAATGTGTGGCATGACAGAATGTGCCCAATTAAAACATTCCAGACAGAAAACCTCCAACATGAACTTTTCCTAATTCTTTAACATCCAACATAATATCCCCACTGATGAAAGCTTAGTGAAGAAATAAATTCAAAGTCATTAGGTATATGAACCATCCCAACACACCTACCAAAAAGCCCTGCTTGAATTTGATAACACTCAGTTGTGAGGCTTTCCCATTGATCTCCCATTCTTCCTTCAACTTTGTTCACATGCAGGCAGAGGAAAAGGGTGGATGGAAAGATTGTAATCCTGATTCCAGTTTGCAGAGGCTCAGTTAGAAACTAGTGAAAAATGTGGCACATGGACACAACTGACAGTGCTAGTCAACATAATACCATGGTGCTTGTGAAATCACAGAAGGGCTGGGGAAAATTGGTGACCAAATTGCATACTTTTACTAATTATCATTCAAATGCATCAAGTGACATTTCTTGACAATGTGCAGCTGAATTCAGATTTGTCAAAGACAAATAATCACCATGAGAGTTGGCATCATGCTTTTGAAGCAACTGTTGGCACCTATCATCTATAGATTTAAAAGATGGTGGAAGCTCTACAAAAAGAATGGGCAGGGACAGAAGTACCCATTCAGAGATTGCAGGCAGGAGCTGCAATTTCCCCCGCCAAAAGTAAATATCCATATAGCTTTCAGGCAATCACTGATCACCTGGAGGCATTTTGTGAATTGTCAGCACTCATTTGATATGTGTTTTTATCAGGGGCACAGCAAGGGGAAGGGGGGCTAGAGGGGGCTTCAGCCCCCCCAAGTTTTGTTCAAGCCCCATAACTCTGGTCTAAATGCATCTGTCAACCCATCCCCACCTCTCTCCCCAAGCAGAAGTGAGGGAAATTCTAGCTCACCCAATGGCAAAAATCCTGGCTACACTATTGGTTTTTATCTGTGTTCTTCAAATTCCATGAAGAAATTTCATTTGGGATATTTTACATGTGGACTCTTTTTCATTAGGAATGAAATGTCTTTGGATACTTTTCAAAAATGATTTTACCAGGGGGTCAGAAGATTACTTCAATGGAAGGTTCTATCAGTTACTTTTTGTCTGCTTTATTTCAACCAGGGTTATTACATCAGTGACCTGTAACAATTCTATATTTATGTAACAATCCTACATAATACACAATGACAGGAAAATTCATGGCTCTGTCCTCTTCAGAAATATCTCCAAGAAACACAAGCATTTTTATATGCATTTTTTCAGTAATTACATGGGGTGGATTGCATTCCACCCATGGCCATGACAAGAACAGTAAATGAGGCCCACATGCAAATAATAAAGCCAAGATTAAACCAAGTAAGACTGGCAATGGGATGGGGAATTTAGGTACCCAAGGTTAAAAGAATATTAGCCCTGCTTGGTACATACCTAAATGAAGTAATGTTACGATTTTAATCAGCTTTTCCCATGAATGGCTAACTGAAAGTTCTATCACAATTGGAAAGAGTTAAGAAAGTGGATATTTGTAACTAGTATAGCTGTATTCCACCTATTAAGAATCAGCCTTTACAGCCTCAAGATATGCCTGAAGTGGTATAATGGGAGCAGGCATACCTGGCATGGTCACAGTCCACTTTCCCTTTGTATCCCATGAGAAAGGCTGGAGGGAGACAGTCATCTGCTATGGCCCTGGCCATAAAATTCCCCAAAATTATTGGAGCATCCGGGGTATCCAGGGTCAAGTCAGGCAAATCACTCAACAATTTGTCAAACCCTGTCAGGAACAGCAAAAGGTGCAACATGTCCATCAAATTGGGCAGAAGAGTTAGGCTTTCCCAAAATCAATAGAATATCTTTAAAAGATACTTTATTGATACAGTGCTTTAGCAAACCTATTTATTTACATTTCTGTCGACCCTAAAATAGACCTCAAACCCTGCAAGCCAGCATTTTGAATCTCAAGCAGATACACATTCAAGAGATTACAACAGAATTAGCACTTGAATGCAAATGCCTATATTCATCTATATATATATATATATCTGCATTTACTAGGGCAGTGCCAATATTGAAACCAGATACTGATTATGAGTTTTTCATGAAAATTGTCTTCCTGCCATTTACTTTTTAAAAAAAATTTAATTTCCCTTTGTGAGGGATGTTTTTCACCAACCAAATCTCATCCCTGAGAAAATTTGTTATACAAACAGTTGCCTCTCACACATGCCACTGGAAAGGAGGTTTGCTCACAATCAGTCCTATCTTCTTTAAATGTTCAGAAATGAAACTGGTACATCACCTCTGCTCCATCATGTAGTATGCCTGGAATCAATTCTTTCTCACTCTCAGCTTTATATGAACATGAATGACCCCAAACAGAACTCTTCACAGAAATTTAATTTCTTAATATTTTAATTTACTTCCATGAATCAGAGCTTTATGAACATGAATCATCCAAACACAACCTTAGAAGGAATAAGAGAAAAGCTTTTAATGGAAGCAGAATTCACGGAACTTTTAAAGAGGATTTCCTGGCCGACAAAAATGACTAGATAATAATGAGTTGACACTGACTTGAGCAAGTACCACTTACTGTTATCACATTGGTCCAATTGCATTTGATAAAATTGAGTAACTGATGAAAATAAGCAGCAGTCAGGAAAAACCAGAAATACAGTCATTTTTATCACCAAATCATTTTTATTGGAGCAAACTTTAATTTAAAAAATTGCCTGGGTGCAAGCAGGCCTCCCCTACCTCTGAATTCCAAATGCATTATTCCACTAACATTAAATGGTAGTGAACTCGCCATCTCACAATGTTCTAGATCATGGGAATATTTATTGAGGTTTCAGTTTTAATGCTTAGAGCCTCCTCATGATCTTACTCAATGCAAGAGGCAGAGTTAGCTCTACCTGGAGGGAGGAAAGATTGGTCATTATGAAAACTATCCTGTAACTTCTTTTTTAGGCACAATGAAGGGGATATGAGAGGGTATACACAACTTCAACACTACTATCACTTGCTCATGCAAACAAGACCTAAACATACCTTTGGCAAAGTCCTTTCGCATAATGGTTCGGCCAAACAGGTCTGCAAGCAACACTGAGGTCATTTCTCGTTGGGAAGGCTTACGATCCATAGCAAACTCCACACTCAAGCACACCACCTATGAAAAATAACTTGAATCACCAGCCTTACATGCTTTTACTTTGCAGAGGGTAAGATCTTACCTGATGCCTCTGAGATAAGAGATTAACTTCTTCCAAAGATGCAGCCACTTCTTCGGTGTCTCCATGCTCAAAATACTCCAAGAATATTGGTTTCAATGCCTTCTATACTCCAAAAAAGAGGAAATACAACAGCATAACAGCAGATCAATGCTTACATTAAGTAAAACTTATGCCCATGGCCTTGCTTACATTATCAATAATGAAAACAATCCAGAAAGTGTACATTCTCCTTATACAACTGTTTATAGCTGGATTAAAATTTGTAGCCTGCCTGTGGTCTGGTTTCATCTCAATAAGCCTTTGCTAACAACTATTCATTATATTCAGACAAGTCATATTTGCAGTCAACTACAATACAATAAGACTAGATTACTACTTAACCTCCACTAAAGTAAAAACAACAGTGGACACACTCTGCCAGAGCCTCCCATTCAAACATGATGTGACTGAACAAAATAAAATGCTAGCATCAACTATGAATAAATTTTCATATGTTTACTTGATCTCTCACTTGCAATTCAGCATGCATTCATTGCAAGTATTCCTTTTCTCCAGCATCTTCTTTCACATGTCTCCAAAAATCAATTTGCCATATGGCAAAGGAATCCACTTAGCTCTGTTGAATCATAACCTGACTATTATGAAAACATCAGTGAACCAAAAGAGATACCAGTTTCCAGATTACAAACCCCAGGTCAATGAATATTTTAAAAAAAATGGCAATAGGAAGTCCTGAGGCTAAGCTACAATGAACCAAGGATTTGAAAACAGGCAATACTGAAAAAGGTCAGTATGCAGTCAGCATGCGACAGACCCTACATATCAGCAGTGAAAGCATGAAAATTTAAGTTTCAGTACTGCTATCCCATCTGCACTGCATTCTGTTGTATCATTTGGTGGGGTATTTTCTAGAGATCAACCGATATATTGGTTGCCAATATAAATAGGTCGATATCGGCGAATATTCACATTGGCTCTTTCAAACCTTCCAATTTTTGTCTATATTAGAAGTAGTGTTCTGTTCAATCTACAGTGAATGAAAATATTACTAGGACTATCTTTTTCACACCCATATGGAAACCCTAAGACATGTGATATAGCCAACATAACATCATCCAAGAGGTGACATCACAGGTCTTTTTTTCTGCTCATGTTCCTGGTCTGGTACAGACCTTCGCTCTAAGGCTTAGGTTTAGCTTATGCTTTGCAGCCTAACTTCATTGTGAAGTTCATCAAGGAAAACTTGAAATAAAATCAAGCTGTCCTGTTGAATCTTCAATATGATTTTGTTTATGCTGAAATACCAGCCAATGTTGTATCGGCTATCAGCTTCATATATTGGCCAATATTGTGATAGGTAAAATCCAATATCAGTTGATCTCTAGTACTTTCATTGGCATCAAATACACCATTTCCATATTGAATCCATACCCACCTATAGGTGCGATTGCAGGTAGTGACATCTTACACATGGGTGGTAAAGTCTATCACATGATGAAGTGGAACCCCTATAAATGTGTGGTTCCTCCATTCTCCACTATAGGTGGGTGGTATGAATTCAATCCGGAAACAGTGTAAATGCACATTCATGTACTGAAATCATGGACAGATGGGAAATGACGTGAGAAACATTAACTCACTCGAACTTCTTCATCTGTAAGTTCTGGCACCACCTCTTCAAGCTGCACATCTTTGGAGCCCATCGAGTCAGAATCATAATTGGGATCTGCCTCATCAACTTCTTGCACCTGCAGCTCTGATCCAGGTTTCCCCCAGACTCCTTTCCCACCACCACCACCTGTAATAAATATTTTCCACCTGAATGACTCTTCTATTAGAATGCAAGAGAAGATGCATACATAATAAAATAGGCAAATGGTGACTGCATCAAAGTTATTAAATTCATAACCACAGTTCAAAATTTGATAGCAGGAAAAGTAACTAACAAATGATATTAACTGTTGCTCCAACAATAGATACTTGTTGAACTCTAGTTTATGACATCATAAAAGGATGAAAAAATTATGCAGTATCATAATTTAAACTTTTTTCATTTTTTTCTCTTTTCATAGCATGAGGTGCCATTAATAGGATTTATGGACCTGATTTCCATCCCTGATGAGTACCCCAGGACATGAAGGATAATCCTATGCCACACTCCATCCAGCATGCTGGACATAATTCAATAATGAATGCCACATAGATGAAACACAAGCTAAGGTATCACAAACTGTGATAACAGTGTCCAACATGCAGCATATGGATAGTACTATATCCCCAACCAGCACTAGTAGGGAGACTGTATGCAATGGAATGCAGATATGTTGGAACACATCATCAATAGCATAATGGAAACTGGAAGAGATGATGATAAGGGAAAATCATGATCAAACATAGAAAAGCACACCCCAAGATTTTCGAGAAAAGGACTTTTCAACATGTTGACTACAGCCAACTATTATAGCAAAAATGCTTTTATTGCATTCATTTTCTCTGCAGTCTAAGAATTTTATTATTATTATTATTCAGTGTTAAAAGGGGGATGAAAGACATGCACTATCTTGCCAAACATGATGCCTAATGATGAAAGCATCAGTACTGCAGCTATTGCAATGGATACAAATTTGATCAGGTATGGCATGATGCCCCACAAAATAGAAGATAAACATACCAAAGTCATATATAAATATCTCACCTGCTGCTCCATATCTTTGACATACATGCCTTTCATAAGGTCCTACCACATTTTATCATGTACTAATTTTATCAAAAAGATATGATCAGATGTATATTACCATGGGTCACATATATTATGCATGCCTATTTCTCAAAAAATCATATATGATTTTTCCATAGTAAATGTCCCAAAAATCCATCAAATTCTGACCAAAACATCCATGTTTTGGTTCTCTTAAAAAATGCATACTTGACACCACGTCAAGGCTCCAAAATGAGTGACAAGTGTGTCCATCCTTGATGATGACTGACTGCTTGATAAAACACAAATATATTCCTGCTCTCATTTTATAGAGCTTTATCCCAGGTATACTTGTGCTATTTATTCAACCTCTATGCACAGTGGGACAAAAGCCCACTTTCCTGGCCAAAATTCAAAATATGGAATTGCCTAATATGATTCTGATACACTTCCCCCTAATCACCAAATAATCAAGCTTCAGATAACTGCAATTACTTTTTAAAAGTTTAAGCCATTTTCTAGATAAAACAGTGTAAACTCAACTAAAATCCAACTATCCTTTCATACCCTGATTTCCTCAGGTTAAAATAAACCAACTTGTCTGAAAAAGAAAACTGATCTATCTGTTCAGACTTGAGGGAGCCTTCTATGAGTAAGTACTTTCATATTGCTTGATATGATATTCTAAGTTATGTTACTATGAGCATGGTGCCACTTTATCTGCTGCACCATATTTTTTAGTTTTTTAATATAAGAAGGCAATTGAGTGCAATGAAGATTTGAGCATTTCTGGAACCTATCGTTAGTATTTTAGCAGCCACATGAAAACTAGCTACAACCGCTTGCTAATTTCACTATAGGAGTAAGATATCATGCTGCACCAACAGTCCTTCTCTCTTTTCTTGCATTGCTGACTTCTCACTACATCCCCTCATGATGTGATGAGGTCAGTTTGTCCCCCTGTGCTATGGCCTGGTTGCCATATACTCTAGCCTCTGGGAAGTGAGGTGTCAGGCTCCAGAATAGCCCAACAGATGAACTTTACTATATATATGTAGCTGATTCTCACCCTTCTTTGGGAGACCTCGACCATGACCATTCCTGGGACGACGACTGTTCTTTTGAGAGCGCAGCTCAAGCCGGAGATGATTCCCATGGAGGCCATTTGGTGCCTGGCCATTCAGCAAGCCAAATTCACCCTGCATGGTCCTTCCATGGCGCTTGGCTCGCCTATTCACACGTCGGTCAGCAGCAGCCGATACAGTGTCGAGTTTTCCAAGGTCACCTTGAATGCCAGTCACGCCTGTCTTGGGTTGTTCCAGCTCAGCAACAACATCTACATCTTTATTATCTGTGACTTCCTGCTCCTCAATTATTTTCTCAGTGTGGGCAGCAGCCATTGAGAATATCAATAATTCCTTCACAAAATAGCCTTTGAGATTCTCTATTACTTCCAGGACAACCTAAAAGGAAAGAAATAAAGATCAAGGAGGATTAGAATTTTCATATTGCTCAGTGTTTATGGCACCATAAGAACTGATCATGGAAAAATTTTTTAATCAATAATTCATGGGGTGTTCAAGTGATCAACTTTGCTAATTGGTCAGTTGAATCTTCATTTTGGTAGAGATTTTTTTATAACCTACAGACAATAACATCACCAGGTGCACAAACCTATTTAGCCAACTATCAAGTGCATGTACTCCATCCAATCTACTAAAAATAATTTTCAATTGTTTCAAGAGAGCAGTGCACCAACTAGCAATCAGATACAAAGTTATCATTCAACCTAGATAGGATTTATGGGGAAAGGGTAGCAAGGTAGAAAGGAAGAGCAACTACAACTACTCATGTCCAGTTGTTTTTTTAAAGTAGGTTTATTGATGTAATCACACATTCCATTCTGAAAAGGGCACAGGAATAGAGAAATGGTAGCTTAAAAAATGTTAAATCTGTGAGCAAAGCAGGATTACAGTGGGTAAGTGTTGGCCTATGACCCAAAACTAGTTGAAGCAAACAAAGGCTGACAATGCAGAAATTGTCACACCAAGGTAAAAAGAGAATTAAAACATAAACATATGGAAAGCATCAATGCAATTGGGTGAAACAATTAATAATTAGCAATAAAAAAGATTAAGTCCTTTCAAACTCCAACAAGTTAAAATAGGTATACTAATTCATTAAAAAATGATCAATTTAATTGTAGGCCATTTAATCATTAAATTAAAATTTATTTTACCCTCAGTTCACCTCCTGAATGAGGCAAATGAATGACATGCTTTCTATCCATCTATTGACAAGGTTTTCATTTCTTTTTTAAATATATACAAGTTCTAGCTTTACTCATGGGTTTCCTTCTTCCAAAATTTTCCTTTGCTAAAAACAAGGCATTCTAAAACAAACTCCTCCATGCCATTACTTCAACGGATTAAAACTACAAAAAATCTCCAGTTTTGACTCTCAGGAAAATCTGTATGCTATCCTGCAAAACTGGTAGAAACAGACATTCATGGGAGATTTGGAAGCCAAATAAGATCCATTCAATTTTCCTAGTAATTAACCTCTTCATACCTGAGTAAGTAAATGAGCTGAGTCTTATGCTTTTAATCTCAGATATCTGAGGAGGTTGAAGCTTGATCTACAGGTGAATTAATAAAACAGAATTAGCAGTCCTGAAGTTTGTGATTGAATTTTATGCTCCATATTGCACCTAAATCATGCTATATGGAATTCATGACACTACCTCCTTCTTTACTATCCCACTCCAAGCAGACAGGAATTTTTTTACTTTGGCCTTCATATATAATGAAGATTGAATTTCAGAATGTAAAGCATATGAACTGGAAAGGCTAAAGGGGTAGTCCAGAAGCATAGCCAATGGAAAAAGTCCATAACTAAAAGCATGCTGCTTGGGTACACTACCCCAGGGCAAATAAAATTCCCATTAATCACATGCAATTCACCATTCATACATGTTATATCAGTTTGAGCCACTAGCATCACTGTATTTAACTGCTAAGCATTTACCAAACTAAAAAATGTGTTATCTGCATACACAACCAGGAATTCAGGCTTAACAAATACCATTAACAAAAACAATCACCAACCTATCTTTCCATACGAAATAAGGCTCATGAAAAAGATAGTTCATAATTTTACCAAAATTTTAATCCTTTCACAAGCAGGTTTGAGCCTACCCAAGGCACAAAAAAAGGCAAGGCTTCCAAAAATGAGGAATTTAAATGGCAATTAATTATTCATAAATTATGAAGGCCTTGGCCTTCAAAAAGGTGAGAAATAGAACCTATATATTGGATCTCTCCTAAACCTGTATTAAAGCGACGAGGTTAGCAACACAAAATAAGAAGAGATCGATGAGTAGGCTAAGCTACAATTGGTCTTTCATTAGCCATAGCCAAAAGGTCAAGCATTAAACGCTCGATTCTCCGCGTTACAAAGGTTACGGCCCCGACATTACCTCAAAAGCAGTGTGCACGTGGCTCAGCAGCAACGCGAGGACGACTGCCAATGAGCTTCACTATATATGCACGGCTACAATCAACACTACACAGCACGTTCACACCCGCTGCGCATTAACGCCCGACAACTCGTAGCCAGCTGTGTTTGGGTTCTACGTAGCCTCAGCCGCTTCTGCGCATGACGCCAATAGCCACGGACACAGAGGTGTGCACCTCCTTTGTAGGGGTTGGTCGAAAGAATTTCCCAACGAATTTTAAATGGAAATGCTTATATAGTCAAGATATTATGCAAAATTATGTTCACCGTATTTAGTACTTACCTAACTTTCCAACTTGAAATAATTTTCCCCATAGCTAATATTCCCACTTATCCACCGACGAGGAGTCTACTCAGCGCAGTCCGCATAGCAACAGGAAGGAGCAAGGAGCGGTACCACCAGTACCTGCTAAGAGGTCGAGAACGAGATGGGACATCCGTAGAAACGAGTGAGACCGAAGCACCTGGTCATGGCAGACGTCGAGGGTCTTATCTTGATTTTTCTGCAACCGTTTTCCCTCGTATCGTCGTGTTTATCCAGTGGCAGCTCCAGCCTGCGAGTCATATCCTAGGTCGAGGCGATTCTGATCGGCTGACATCGCATGGATTCCCGTTCAGTCTGGCTGAGCTCAGCCGGCTGACTCAGCTCCTTGGGATGGTCAAGATGGTTTCCGAATGGTTGAGATGAACATGGAAGCCCGTTTTTTGCACTCGCTTCATGACAGGACAAATCCTTGCAGCTCTTGTGGATGATGCTGGCACCAGGTAAACCGGTGAGGGCGACGGAATCGGGAAAGAATCGGCTCGAGTGCTGAGTCCATGAATCGATAAATGAGCGACGTAAATGTTGGACGGTGAGTTCACCAATCGGCAATAAGTAGTTTGGCAACATCGGCCTCCTCGCTCTCAGTGCAACAGCACAACGATAGGCTGAAACTCGGCCGCCCAGCGAGACGGTTTTCGAACAACTCGAACGCAGCCGAGGCTGCCGTCTGGACGGCATCGATGCCTAGCTGCCCTTCATTCAACGGTAAGAATGATATGTCGCCGACAATCCATGAAGTAGGCCAACGTCATGAATTCACCCACGGCGAAGACAGACGTTGGTGAGGAGCCTGCTGCCTAGTGTTAACACCTTTGAAATGAGCAACATATGGACATATGGTCTGTGGATATATGGAAATATGGAGAAATATATGAAGTATACTTGCGTTTGTGACTCTGCTGCAAATAACTACAGCCACCTTTAGCCAAAGTACCAATTGCTGCTGTAAGAGTGTGGCAGAGTGGTTTTAGCTGCTATTAAGTTTTATTAACTAAAAAATCTTAACAGGTTTAAAGTATGGATGAAGTAGTGTCCATATTAATTATGAACGGGTGGCAACCCAATTTCAACCACAGATTCCAAAAGTTTCATTAGCTTGAACCAGTGGCGTAGCGCGGTTGGCATGGGCCCTGGTGCAAGGAATGAAACGAGGCCCGCTGTCCAATTTCTTACTATTGAATTATGTGGGAGTCATTTTTTTTCCTATTTTTCTCTGGCAGCATATAAATCGTCGTCGGTAGCTGCAGTCAGTGCGGAAGGCAGTGGCGGAGTTATTTGCAGCAGAGTCACAAACGCAAGTATACTTCATATATTTCTCCATATTTCCATATATCCACAGACCATATGTCCATATGTT